GCACCGCGGCGGCCGCGGCGGCGCACCCGGTCGCGGCGACGCGGGGCCTCATGGCCGCGATCAAGGAGCAGGTGGTCGGGCCGCCCTCCAGGCCGGGCGAGGCGGCCGCGGCTGCGGCCGCGGCTGCTCCGGCGGGCGAGGGCGAGGTGTTCGGCGAGGGCGGGATGGGCGGCTACGCCGCCAGCGATGGCGGCGCCGCAGGCGCGGCTCGCGGGAAGGGCATGGGGCGGCGCAGCGACGAGGAGGACGTGTTTGCGGACGCCGCCAGCGAGGTGGGCGCTGCCGAGTGATGGGCGAGCACGCACGCTGATTCCGAATGCAGCAGTCTCAAGCAACTCAAGCCAGTGCCTGGCCTCGTGCCAGGGACTGTGGCAACGGCCGCCAGGCGTGCTGTGCCGGTGTCATCCGGAGCCCTGGCGCGAAGCTGCACACCCACCTGCGACCACCCCTCCCACGCCCCGCCGGCTCTGATATGAACGCGTCGCGCGCAGCTGACGACGAGCCGCCCGGGGTCCGTGGAGGGCGGCGTCACGCCCAACGAGGCGATGATGGCCACCGCCAAGGAGTCGGGGGAGGTGCTGCGCCAGCACCCCTTCCCGGCTGACAGGCCGCCGGTGCCGGCGTCAGGGGCAGTGCGGGCGATGTGAGGGGCGCTCATGCGGGCGCCCTGGCTCATCTGAAGCAACTCAAGCTTTGATCACGGGAGGAGGACGGCTTGGGTGACTGCAGTGGTCGTTGCGCTTGGACAGCTTTGAGAACCAAGGAAATTGCTTGGGAATACAGAGCAGAGCGCCCGCGAGAGGGCTTGCCGGGCTGGCACCAGAAAGCGAGTCCGCCTGGCCGCGGCGCAGCACATGCCCCCAGGCAAACAGCGTGCGTGACGGCGAGGTGGCAGCAATTGATGTGAAGTCAATTGATGTGAAGTCAAACGTCTTGCTGCAATGGGGCGTGCTTGGGGGTTGATGTGTTTTGCAACCCTCTGCCGAGCGAGGACCCTACCTACGGTGCATCTGTCTGACGCCGAATGACACACTGAACGGCCAAAGCACAGTTGACCTGGCTCCTTAACCAGGAGCCAGGTGCCGGGAGCAGCAAATGTTTGGCGATTTGCTCCGCTTTGGGTGAGATCCTTGACCAGCAACTGAAGAGGACTGTGGTAGTAGTGCCGTGCATGACCGATGAGCTATCTACTGACACCAGCATCGGGGCTTGCGCTGTCCGTCGGCATGTGCCAGCAAACCGCCTGCGTGCATGCCATCGCCATTGATTACAGCATATCCTAACGCCACCGCATGCACAACACTTGACGCCCCAAGTTGGTGCACACTGCAGTGCACGGACATGCGCGCACACGCACACGTTGCGACACAGCACCCGTTCCGTGCATGCTGTGTTGTGGTCTGCGACCTGGATGGCTTTGTAATGCTTTTGACAGAGCGTTGCGGCTTCATCAATCCTGCGTTCCATTCGCATGCTTTGTAGACTTTGTTTCATGATAGGGTTTGAGCGCCAGCGACAGCTCTGCAGGCCACAATCAACTGGCGCTGCTGCGCCACCTGCTGCTCACTGCTTGGCCCTGCCCAATCTGAAAACAAGGGTGCTTCACGCCCCTCCGCAGCACGGTAGGGAATTCGCAACGGTCTGGTGCATGCGGACGGCTCACTAGCGCAGTGCCCCTGAATTGTTGCCCCATCGCCGCCGATGCAGCAGCAGCAGCGCGCGCTGCAGTCAGCAGCGGTCAAACTCACCCGACGCAGCCCCACAGGACGGAGCAATATCGGCTATGCACGTCATCCTCGCGATGCTAGCCATTCTCAAGGCCGCAGCGGGCTGATCGGACCGACCTTCCACCGGCCTGACGCTGTTTTCGCTCTCACCAACCATTTGAATTCCGCTCTCCAGCCTTCAAAACCCGGCCACGAGCGCCACAATCATCCTACGGTATAGCGTATTCATTCCTCAATCACTCTCACACGCGATACAGTACTCTTATAGATCATAGCCTGCCTTGAAGTTTGAACGCAGAGCCCGAAGCCCGAAGCAAGACGAGCCCGAGCCCAGAAGAGCAGAGTGAAGTCAAGCGCCTGAGAGGAGCCAAGGCTGCCAGAGAGTCGAGCCAAGCATGACAAGCCGGGCCGAGCGGCGGCGCAGCGGCGACAGCCATGACCTGACATCGGATCGGCACGGCTGTCCGCCAAGACTGTACGGCTTTGCCCGTGAGCCTATCACGGGCCCCAACCCGCCCCTGGTGTGCACGTGTCTTCGGACACGTTGTACAATGGGGTAGCCCGTACGCTGTGCGGGGGGGTAAGCACAGGTAGGTGGACCACGTCCCGCGGCCCGGGGTGTCTCGCTATGGCAGCTCCCGCGGCAGCAGGGCACACCCCTGCTGTCCAGCGGCCGAGCTGCCGGCGACTCACCCCCATCCGCGGGCGCGGGGGCGGGAGGGTACTTGTGCATGCCTGAACCGCCTGCATGAGGGCCGTATGCGTGAGGGTGCATGCGCTGTGCCCGGGGCGATTCGCGTCGCTGGCTTTGACGCCAATTTTGGCACTGGGCAACCCATGCCTCTGCTGGGGTCTGTCCCCTCAAGGCATGCAGCAAGCGGCGCCCAGCGATCGGGGGGCAAGCGGGCCTTGGTCCGCTTGACTCCCCGGCTGGCCCGCCGCGCGCACACCTGCGCGCGTGCGGGGCCGCGCTCCCCCAAAACGACCGTGTTCAATGCGCAGTCGGCGGTTTGCCTATCAACTGATCCTGCTGCGCCCGCATCCTGTGCCCTTCCTAGTGCTTGAATTCTGCATCCCCCAAATTGGCGTCACAGGGAGCACACAGATTGCTCAAATGCCTGTCAGCCAAGCTCCCTTGATGTGATGCATGTGGGCATTAAAACATTTCCAGCACCAGGTGTACCAAGGACGCAGCGCAAACTTACTCTGGAGGGTGCAAAGCACAGAAAGCTGTTGTGTACATCTACACAAACCATTGTTTGAGTTAAATTATGCAAGACGGGGTGGGTTGGGTTGCTACACGCACATGTGTGAAAGTCGCACCAAGGCGGCCCATAAGATCCGACAGCTGAACAGACACCCACCAATGTCGACACCGCCAGCCAGCCAGTCTTTCAATGCCAAAGAGGGGCCAAGTTGACCAAACAATCCCCTCCGCCAGCGGCGGCGAGAACTTCACACCGCTCTCTGCAGCTCCATCTCCCGCCGAACCTCTGACAGGGCTGCCGCCACCGCCGCCCGCAGCCCGTCGTCCGCCCCCGCCTGCCCGGGCGCCGCCGCGGCCGCCGCGTCCCCCAGGTAGTTGGCAGCATCCTGCAGCAGCGTCACCGCCTCCCTCGCGCGCGCCCCGCCGGCGCCGCTCGCGCCGCCCGCCACCACCCCCGCCAGCCCGCGCATCGCGAGCGCGCAGCGGTACTGCGCCACCGCGAGCCCCGGCTCCTCGGCCAGCACCGCCTCGAACTTGTCGATGGCGGCGTTGTACAGCTTCTCGGCGGCTTCCGGCTGCACCGCCAGCTGGGCGCGGCCGGTCATGGCCTTGCCCCAGTTGATGAGGGCGCGGGAGGACCAGCCCTCGGCCTCGAGGACGCCGCGGAACATCTCCCCCGCGCGGGTCAGCAGGGAGGAGGCCTCTCCCCTGCGTGGGTGGGGTATTGTTGGGAGTTCAGGTGCGCGTTTTGTGTGTTTATATGTGCATGCGCATGCATGCATGTGCGCACGAGCATGTACTGTGCGTGCGCGCACACGCGCGTGTGTGTGCATGCATGCACGTGTGCACAAGCATGCGGAGTAGCTGGTCTCGCAGATGAGCAGTCGTGGTGCTCCTGGGCAGTAAGCGCCACAATGCCACTGCACACGTGTCAGCACCCGCAGCCGCTGGCTGCAAAACGGCGGCGCAACTTGCTTTGAAAGCGTTGCAGTTGCCCGGCCCCCCAACGCTTCCTGCACACCTCATGCGCAGCTCTGCCAGCTCCCGCCCCTGCGCCTCGTCGGGGCTGCGGGGCGGGCCGGACGCGCGCAGCTCCGCCAGCAGAGCCATCTCCAGCTCACCCTGGGGCGTCGGGCGGCACGCATCGGGCGGCATGCATTGGATGGCATGCACTGGGTGGCATGCATGTGGTGGCATGCATGGGGTGGCATGCACTGGGTGGCATGCACTGGGTGGCATGCACTGAAGGTGGGGCAGACTGCAGCGAGCAGCCCCACGGCCTGTGCTTCCAAGCTGTGCGCTGGTTGCCTTTTGTGCCTTGTACCAGCGGCGTGCAGGCGGCCGGCAAAGGTCGCACTTCGCTGCCACGCAGGCTCCGCCGCGCGCCCGGGGCATGCAGCATCACGCCCCGCCGTGCCGGCTGCCGCCGTGACGCCCCGCGCACCCACCTGCGCCAGCAGCACGTTCCCGAGGTTGCCCAGCGCACGGCTGTCCCCCTGCGCCACGGACGCCAGGTGCCGCTCGAAGCACGCCGCCGCGCCGCCCAGCAGTGCCTTGGCCGCCCCAAAGTCAGGCCCGCCCAGCTCGTGCGCCCCCAGGCCGCGCGTCGCGTCGCGGCCGGCGCGCAGCAGGCGGAGGCCTTCAGGGATGAGCGCGTCCGCGGGCAGCGCCGCCGCGTCGGGGACGGCCGGAGAGGGCGGCCGCCGGGGCGCGAGCGCCTGCTGCTGCTGCTGCTGCTGCTGCTGCTGCTGCTGCTGCTGCTGCTGCTGCTGCAGAGGCGGAGCCGAGAGGCCGTCCCGGGGCTCCCAGCCGGGCTGTGCGGGCGCGACGGGGCCGAGCTGTGCTGCGCCGTACGCCGGCCAGCCCCCCGCGGCAGCCCCAGCAGCAGCCGCCGCGGCCGCCTCCTCCGCGCCCACCTCGGCCGCGACCGGCCGCTGCCCGTCCCAAGCGCCGCCCGCGGCCCCCGCCGCGAGCGCGCCAAGCGACGCCTGCGCCGCCGCCGCGGCCGCCTCGGCCGCGGCGTCGCCGAGGCGGCCCTCCAGCGACGACAGCTGCCCCTCAACCTCGGACCTCAGGAGTGCGATTTCCGAGGAAAGCTGGCCGCCCAGCTGCCCGACCGCGTCCGCCAGCGAGCTGTACAACTGCCCCGCGTCGGCTGCGCCCGCCGCGGCGGCGGCAGCCGCCGCCGCCACCTCGGCCTCCCGCGCGTCCCACAACCGCCGCCGCTCCTCGTCCGCCGCGCCGGCTGCCTGCTGCTGCGCCGCGCGCTGCTGCTCAGCAGAGGACGCCACCTCGTAGCCGACCGCCTCGACCCGCTGCTGCAGCTGGGACACTGCAGACTGCAGCGCCGCCACCATCCCCCGCACCTCCTCCAACCCCGCAGACGCGGCGGCCGCAGCAGCAGCGGCGGCCGCCGCGGCCGCCGTGCCGCCGCCGCTGCCGCCGCCGTTTTCGTCGGCGCCGCCCCCTCTCTGCGCCTGCAGGACCAGCGACACCTGTGTTGGCAGCTCCTGCAAGGCCCACCTGAGCCGGCCGACCTCAGACTGCAGCTCCTCCAGCTGCCCGGCAGCTGCCGCTGCGTCCGCCCCCGTTGCGCGCTCGGCGGCCTCCCGCTCCTGCGCCCACCGCCGCTCGGCCGCCGCCAGCGCCTCGCCCTGGCGCCGCGCGGCCTCCTCCACTGCGGCGCGCACGCCACCCAGATCTGAGCCGATCTGTCCCTCCAGCTGCTGAATCCGCCCCAGCGCCTCCCGCAGCAAGGCCCGTCCCTGGGCCCCCTCTTCCTCCGATGCGCTCGCCGCTTGGGCGCCGCCCTCGCCGCTGGCCGCGGCAGCGGCGGCGGCGGCGGCCGCGCTTGCCGCCGCCGCGGCCTGCGCCGCCGCGGCGTCGACAGCGCCCCGCAGCGCCGCCAGCTCAGCGCCCAGCGCGCCCTCCCCCTCGCCCGCGCGAGCCGCCTCCGCCCGCTGCGCCTCGGCCAGCGGCGCGAGCGCGGCCGCCACCGCCGACGCCTGCGCGGGCGCGGAGGCCTCGACCAGCCGCTCCAGCCGGGCCAGGCGGCGGCCCAGCGCGTCCCATTGCTCTTCTGCCAGCGGCGCCGGCCGCGGCGGCGCCGCCAGGCGCGCGAGCAGCTCCTCTTGCCGCTCCAGGATCGCTGCGGCCGCCGCGCCGACCTCCGCCGCGACCGCGTCCCGCAGCTGCTGCTGCAGCGCCGCGGCCTCCTCCGGGCCCAGCGCCGCCGGGCCGCCCGCCGCCGCGGGCGTGACCGCCTCGCCGCCCGGCCCCGCCTGCTGCAGCGCCTGCGGCGCCGGCTGCAGCTGCGGCAGGACCGCGGCGAGCATCTGCGGCAGCCGGCGGACGGGCTCCAGCGAGCGCGCGGCCTCGTTGCGCACCGCCGACTGTAGCGTTGACTCGGCGTCTGCCAGGGCGCTTGAGAGGCTCATGCCCAGGCGCCGCAGGCCCTCGCTCTGCGCCACCTCCAGGCCGGCCAGGGACCCCTCCACTGCCTGGCCGGGTGGGACGGGCGCGGGAGATCAGGGGGGAAAGGCCAAGGCCTGCACGCCGTTGCAGTGTGCGGCGTCCAAGCAGAGTGGAGTAGCAGCATGGCAGGGCGCCAGCGCGTCGAGGCGCTCGAAATCAAAAGTCCGGGCCGCGGCCCGCCTCACCGCCAGCCGCGCGTCGAGCCGCGCGATGGCGGCGCTCTCCTCCGACGCGAGCGCCGAGACGGCGCGCCGCAGCTCCGACCGCACTGCGGCCAGCAGCGCCTCCTGCTGGCCGCGCGCGTCGCGGGAGAGGCGCTCTGGCAGGGCGCCCACTGCAGACGCCGCGTCGCGCGAGTCGCGGGCTGGGCGGAGGGGCAGGAGGTGGGGCACAGAGGCTGGGCGGTGGGACCAGTGTGGTGGGCGGGCGCCCGACAACGGGCTGCGTGATCACTGTGGTGTGCTGACTGCCTGTGGGACACCCTTGTTTGCTTACGCAACACCAGGATACACAACGCACGCAACCCGAGGCGCTGCTTTTGGGCCGGAGGCGACAGGCGGGGCGGCGACAGCGTCCCACCTGCGCCCAGCAGCGCGCCCTCCAGCACCCCAAGCTTGCCCTCCAGCGCCGCC